TTGGAGTGCCCATGACTGTTTTTTTTGGAGTCCCTATATTCAACAAATATTATATTGAGTGCCATATACTATACTCGGCACTAGAGCAGTGATTCATCTATAAACAGAAGGGACAAAATCCTTGCCTTTATGGAGTGTACATTCTATTGTGAGACATGGGTGATGAACAAGATAAATAAATAAAATGATGAGATATGCTGGGTAAAGTGCTAAGCAGAAAAAAAAATAGTGTGAAAAGAGATATGAAACATCATGGTAGGAACTTGAATTGAGATTTTGAGAAGTGTTGTCAGGAAAGGCCTCACAGTGAGATGGGGACTATTTGGAATAGAGACATGAGGGAGCCAGCCATGGTAATATCAGGGGAAGAGCATTCCAGACAGGAGGACCAGCAAGTGCAAAGGCCGTGAGGCTTCGAGGTGCAGGGATGTTCAAGAAACTCCCTGGAGGCCATGAACTGGTAATGGAGTGAATGAGGGAGAGCTTAGTGGGAGATATGTGACATCATTTGGGGCTCTTGGTTTCTAGAAGGGAAGTCGTTGGAGAGTTGATCAGAGGAGTGATGGGATACGAGGTATATTTTAATAGGCTGTAGCCTGAAGGCAGGGCAAAATCAAAGGCAGAGAGACAAAAGTGAGAGTATTTAAATGCTCCGGGTTGCGGATGGTGGTGGCTTGGATTAACGTGGTGCAGGGAGTGGTGAGAAGTGCTGGGACTTTGGATGTACTTTGACCCAACCGAATTGGCTGGCAGATCTGATGTGGAGAGTGAGAGCAAGAGAGGAGTGAAGGAGATGATTTTAGGGTTTTCACCCTGAGGAACTGAAGAATGGCATGGCCAGTAACTGAGGATGATGGGGATAAATGCTCCTGTTGGTGAGGGAGAGGGTGGGGGGGTATCGGAGCTGAGTCTTAGACTTAGTGTCATTCTAGATGCAGTCTGCCTTGAACAAGTTCTTTTTACAGCGGTGCCTTATTTAAGTAAGGCACAGGTCGGCTCCCTCACGATTTTGAGAAATGCAGCTGTTAGATTTTTAAGGGACTTCCTCATCACAGTATTGAAAAAGGGGATAACGTCCCTTTAAAGAATCATCCACCACTTTTTGGTGTGTGGATTTGGAAGCGCACATCTTGTTTTAGCCATAAATCTTTTACCATAGATTATATTTTGGGTCATTATTTCTGTGTATTTTTAAAAAACTCCATCCATTTGCATAAAAACAGTGCCTTTTGTTTCTGAATCGATGATTAGCTCTTAGCCGTATCCGGGTTTGAAGTCGTAATCCTCTCTGTGTGACAGCGTAGTGGTTGCTCTTGGAAATGATTAGGATGTCATAATTGGTTTAGGATTCCAGATGGGGGATAAGTGAGAGGGGCAGGTGATCATTTTCTCAGAAACAAAAAATTCCTGCCTCCTCCCCATCCTCTCAGTGATAAGAGAGGGAGGCCGTGGAAAATGCACGATCTATAAATAGCACTGCTTCTAAGGAGGCTGCTTTCCTAAAGGTCTCATTAGGCATCAGCAATTAATGGCCCTAATTTAACTGTGCTATATTGTGAAGATGCCAGAAAGAAACCTGAACTTGTATCCTATGGCATAGATGCAGGTAAAATGCCTGAGAGCACTCTAAGTGGGTTTCTATAAATCTCAAGTCATTTTCCCAGATTATGAAAGCATTCTGAGGAAGACACCTTTCCTTGTGTCTCTGTGTTAACTCTCCATTGTTGACAATAGCTAACACGATGCTGTGCTTTGTCTGCCTTCCCAGGCACTGTCTACCTGCTGTGAGTGCATCCCCGGGAGGGACCCCCAGAGATCAAAGAACTGTGTTTGCTGCTTGACCTCAGGCAGACCAGTGGGGGTACCTCAATCTGAGTTGGTTCTTGTAGGGATCAGGCTTATGGTCTGACCTCATTAAGATCATACTAGAGCCTTCTAAACTGACAGGGCCCAAAGAAGGTGAAAAAAGTCTGAACTTCTTGGGAAGGCCACAGAAAATCTTTTTCTATATGCTAGATCCATGTTCCCAGGATTAGAAAAAGACAGAAGAACCCCCTTCCCCATTTTCCTCGAGTGAATTATGATTAAACCCAGCAGCTTTTCCACCTGGGATAGTCTGGATTCGGATAGACGGCTTTGGTTAGTTACAGAAGGCTGCTCTGGGAAAAATGTCTGCTCCTCTAGGGAGCTCGGTCATCGATGGTCAGAAATATAAAGCCCTGTGGTGGGTTCAGTCCTGGGGATGGCTGAGGGCTTCTCCATCTTTTTAGGTCAAAGATGCCTTTGATAAGACAGCGAAAACAGCAGACCACTGCACAAACTCTCACATACACCCAGCATTACTAATGGAGTAAAGTCATATAATTCCTAACATCTGTTTGTGAACACTCCTATTTTTGTAATAATCAGTCATTTTTTTATTTGACAAATATTTATTGAGCACCTATCATGCACTCAGCACTGTTCTAGGCACTAAGAATATAGCTGTGAGCAAAGGAATCGCATATTTATCTTTATCTATTAACAGTGGTTAGAAATCTCCTGGGTAGAAACTCAGGTAATCTCCTTTTCCTCTCATTTTCCTAAACCAAACATGCATTACTTGTTCTAGAGAAACATAATAAAAGAGATAAAAGTCATGGTTCATTTCTTGAGAATAATAAACAATGACAAATGTTCCTTTGGAAGCAGCAGTGATTTTAAATAATCTGTATTTCATCAGTCATGATATGACAGACGTATCCTGATAAATAAAGGTCCAGGTATAGGCCAGACACATTATTTATTGTCAGTCTACAGCTTCTGCTTGTGATGCCTATGGGTAGATGCTGTGCAGTAACTTAAGATCTCTTGGGAGTCAAATATCCCTAGGTTAGGAATGGTTCCTGCAGACCAGGGCTTGACAAAATTGGCTGCAGACCAAATCTCATGTTGTAGATAAAGTTTTATTTTTTATTTTTATTTCTATATATATAGTTAAATTGGAAGTACAATCAGTTACAATGTGTTAATTTCTGGTGTACAGCACAGTGTCCCATTCATGAATATACATACATGTATTCGTTTTCATATTATTTTTCATTAAAGGTTATTACAAGATATTGAATATAGTTCTCTGTGCTATATAGAAGAAACTTGCTTTTTAAAATCTATTTTTATATATAGTGGCTAACATTTGCAAATCTCAAACTCCCAAATTTATCCCTTCCCACCCTTTCCCCAGTAACCATAAGAGTGTTTACTATGTCTGCGAGTCTGTTTCTGTTTTGTAGATGAGTTCATTAGTGTCTTTTTTTTTTCTGTTTTTAGAGCCCACATATGAGTGATATCATATGGTATTTTTCTTTCACTGTCTGACTTACTTCACTTAGAATGATGATCTCTAGGTCCATCCATGTTCCTGCAAATGGCATAAGTAAAGTTTTATTGGAACACACCCATGCCCATCATTTGCATATTGTCTATGGCCGTTTTTCACACTATAAGGGCAGTGTTGACTAGTTATGACAGACACCATTTGTTTGACCCACAAAACCTAAAACCTTTACTTTCTAGCCCTTTACTAGAAAGTTCTCAGGTCGTTCCCTAGACTAGCGCTGTCCTGTAGCACTTTATGCAGTGACAGAAAGGGCCTGTATCAGAGCTGTTCAGTACACTGCCACTAGCCACGTGGGTCTGTTGAGCCCTTGGAATGTGGCTCGTGTGACTGAGGAAATGACATTCTACTTCAATGGAATTAAATTTACATTTGAATTTAAGTAGCCACAAGTACCTACGGACTACTGAATTGAACACTGCCACTCTAGACCAAACAGTGAGGTTCATGGTTTACATGAGGGTTAACTCCTGGTGTTATATATCCTGTGGGTTTTGGAAGATGTATAATGTACGGATTCAAATCCTTTTTGTGGAGGTGAGGAGGGGAAGTAGCACAAGGTATGTAACCCAAACATTCGCCTTTAATTTCTATATAAAATTCACAAGGACCTGAAGGATCCTAAATTAGCTTTGAGGATGGGAGCCAGGAAGGGAGGTTGAGGATGATGGAGAAGGTGTTGAAAGGAGAGAGAAGAGGGTAAAGAAAAAGATGTATTTCCTTTACTATTTTGATGCTTCCTCTTTCCCTACTGGAAGCTGAAGGTGGGCAGGTAGGCAGATGTGAATGTGAGCTTCGTACACTCGGGCACCCTCCCTCCATCATGGGCATCCATGATCAGGAAGGATAGGATCCCAGTTTCCTGCTCATTTCAGATGATTCCGAGAGACAATTGGACCTGATAGAGAGCAGTGCTGGCTATGCAAACAGGCAGCCTAATTTTCCCCGGGAGACACACGTTCCCAGAGATGTTACCTGTTGTAGCTGCAGCTCACGGAGCTCTTGTTTCCAAACTGATTGCATGTGCAGTGCAACTGACCCTACAAAATGCTGAAAGGCTGTGAACTTTGTTCTTTGAACTTGGCCTCTTCCAATTAGTCTGTGTAGCCCAAGGTTAAGATTTGCTGTTTGCAAATCTTATAATGTGACTTCAGGATGATATCCCCATCTTAGGCAACATGCTTTGATATTTTGGTCTTTCAAAGAAAGCTATATTTATTTTATATGAAGTCTCAGATATTGGTGATGATCTTATACCCCAAACCTCCAACTCCCCCGCCCCACCCTGATGTCTAATCATTACTGCACAAACTGGAAGGGCATTTTAAGAATCTCAGTGTCTTTCAGGGAATGATCTTAAATTACATTTTATCACCACCACAGATCCTGGTGGTTTATTACTTGGTTTTTAATGCATTTTGCAGTTGAAATGAGGAATAGAGAAAATAAGAACAGCATAGGATATGGAAGATGTGGTCTGTAAAATGGGGAGAAGTTAACCTGCAGTAAACATCATGGAGTTTTTATGAGGCTTATATATCCTAAATTATGACATAATCAGGGCATCATCTAAAAATGTAAAGTAATTTCAGGGGTATCTTCTATTAAAGTTCTAGTTGAAAACTATTTCTTTTTTTTTTTTTACAATTCTTTTTTTTTTTTTTATCGCACTAAGGGATATATATGGAGGGTACAGAGTGACACTGAATAGATCACGAAGCACAACAGACATTAGTTCTCTCCCTCCCCAGCATCTCCTTCGTCTCCCTGGTTTTCCGACGTCCACAGAGTGAGATTGTCCCTAAGCAACTGCATGATCAAGGTGCTGTCTTTGTAAGACTCTTCATTCAGTGTATCCAATTCCGCAATTGCTTCATCAAATGCCGTTTTTGCCAGGCTGCAAGCCTTTTCAGGAGAGTTTAGAATCTCATAGTAAAAGACGGAGAAATTAAGTGCCAGGCCCAGTCGAATTGGGTGTGTAGGCTGCATTTCTTTCTTACTAATTTCAAAGGCTTCCTGATAAGCCTGCTGAGAGTTCGACACAGTGGTTTGTTTATTGTCTCCAGATACCACCTCAGAAAGATATCTAAAATAATCTCCTTTCATTTTCAAGTAGAACACCTTACTTTCTGGTTGTGTAGCACTGGGAATAAGGTATTTGTCCAACAGCTCCAGAACATCATTGCAGATGTCCTGCAGCTCAGCCTCGATCTTCTCCCGGTCCTCTTTGCCCATCTGCTGCTGCTTCTCGTTCCTCTCCGTCTTCTGCTCAGTGCTGGAGATGACACGCCAGGAAGAAGGGCGGGCGCCGACCACGTTCTTGCAGGCGACGGAGAGCAGGTTCCTCTCTTCGTTGGAGAGCTCGGGCCCCTGCTCCGTGACCGCCTTCATGGCCGCAGCCATGTCATCATAGCGCTCAGCCTGCTCGGCAAGTTTGGCTTTCTGTACCAGTTCACTTTTATCCATGGTCATTCCCGTGGGAGGACTGAAGGGGGCAAAGACGCTGTGAGCGGGGCTCCGAGCGCGGTGACCGCTTCCTTCCCAAGCCCACTCCTCTGGCAGCGGCGGCGGCGGCGGCGGCTGCAGTGGCGGCGGCTCCACTTCCGCTCCCGAAAACTATTTCTAGGCCAGCACCACACCCATATAAAGTAGAGTGTGTGTAATTCAGCATGGTCACTAAATTTTTTTTTTAATTTTTAAAATATATATATATATATATATTTTATTGAAGTATAGTTGATCTACAATGTGTTAATTTCAGGGGGGTGCAGCAAAGTGCAAAGTGATTCAGTTTGTTTGTTTGTTTATATTCTTTTTCAGATTATTTCCATTATAGGTTATTACGAGCTATTGAAGACAGTTCCCTGTGCTATGGAGTCGGTCCTTGTTGTTTATCTGTTTTATATACAGTAGTGTGTATCTGCTATCCCGAACTCCTAATTTATCCCTCCTCCCTTCCTTTCCCCTTTGGTAATCATAAGTTTGTTTTCTAGGTCTATGAGTCTGTTACTGTTTTGTAAGTAAGTTCATTTGTATCTTTTTTTTAAGATTCCACACAGAAGTGATATCGTATGGTATTTATCTTTCTCTGTCTGACTTAACTTCACACTGAGTGAGTGCTAAGAACCCCTTAGGGAGACGCTGAGTCAAGCCGTCTCTGTCTGGCTTCCTCGTGCTTTCTGGGCCCCAGATCCTGAGTTCTCCGTAGCACTGGGAGTGTTTATGCAGCTTGGGAAGTGGAAAACTGAGCCTTCAAGCAGGACCAGATAACTGTGTATCTTACCTTCGGACCTCATGTCATTCGTCAGTGTGTTGTATGACCTTCAGTTGCTCACTCATTTCTGTTTCACAAGAGGAGAAGGAAGGAGTGAGGTCACTCCTGAAGGAGAAGGTAGGTCTTTTCCTTTCTGGTCATTACTTTTCTTCTGGAGGTGTAGGCACTGTTACTGTAGTGGTGGAGAGAAACATCTGTTTGGGATTCTGTCCAAACTTCACACAAGTGATATCTTGTATCTGATACCTTTTTAGATGGGAGGAATCTGAAAAGTGACTGTGAGATATAGCATCTGCTGATAGGAAGAGAAACAAATGGCATTCTTCCCACCTCCCTCCCCCCGGTGAAGGCTGGAAGCTGAGAGAGGGAGTTCCAAGTCCATAAAAGCCACCATGATGTGGTGGGAAGAGCTCTGGCCTGGGAGATGAGGCACCTGGGACAGCGAGCGTGTGACTGGCCGCTCAGGGTCTCCGGGTCTAGACCAGTCATAAAAGGAGAGGTGATCCTGCGTCCTGCGAGTCCTAACATCCTGGCTTCTAACTGGTTCTGTCTTTACCCTTCCCTGTATCCCATTGCAACACCTGGCGTACAGTTTTTGTTCTGCTCCAGAGAAGACGTTGAAGCTGTTGTGAATCTTCTGTAATGTGGGCCAAGGAGACTGCCCGTTGTCATTTGCCGTCCCTAAATTGAAAGATCCAGGCTGAAGATGCCTTTCATTTTGTTTTCCTCTAACAAATCCTAGGCTCATTGACCTTCAGAGGTCTCTGAAGACCAGCTAGTATAAGATCAGCTCTATTTCCAAGTCTTTCTTTCTACAGATGAGGCTCAGAGACTTTTTGTACCTCTCTCAAGGGGGACTTAAGAGATTAGTTGTTAGAATCAGGTCTCATGACTCTCAGATCATTTTTATAAGCTGTGCTTCCTCCCTGGTTGGCCCTCTTTAGATATTATGTCCCCCCAAATCTATGCTGTCTTTAGGTTTTATTGCCTTTGTGCCCTTAGAGTCAACCCCCAAGTCTTGGAATGTGAAGGCTGGGCACTTGAGGCATTAACACTGGGTACCCTAAATTACATATGCAGCATCTTCTCACTGTCCTCCGACCAGTTCAACCTGAGATGTCTAGCAAGAGCTTGTATGGAGTTTTGTTAAAACCTGTCATGGTAAAATGAATGAAGCACACCCCTCCAACTGTCCCTGCACCCCGACCAGGAGCTCAGATGTGGAACAGTGTCTTTGTGGGCAGAATCTCAGGCACCCACCCATGTGAGGCAGGAGGAGGAAGTCTGGGGCTCTGGCAGGCCTGGCCGCCATGGTCACCACCCTCGTTGCCAATTTCCTCCCGTGAGTGAGTAGCAGATTCTACAAGCCGGCAGACAGCCTGTTGAAACGCTGTATCAAATCATCATCCTTTTGTCCTGATGCTTATCTGATCAGCAGAACTGCCTTTTATTCAGGAGATAAAGCTTTTCTGTCATTGCAGCATATTCAGGTAAAGTCATTTGTTCTTAGTGTTTTTGTTCAAAGGAGTTGAAAAACAAGTTGTACCAGACTGCTAGTACATCGACTATTCTGCAGAACATTCTCTAACAGCCATTGCAGATGTGTTGGGGGAAGGGAATCATCCCGTGGCCCAGAAACACTTACCAAGGATCCCTTTATACCAGTTGCACCATCTGTTCTTCCCTACTAATTCAACAAGTATCAAGTGACCTGCTGTCATCAGGGAGCTGATAAAGGGACAGCAAATAAAATAGGAGATGCGATGCCCAGCTCAGACAGTGTTAGAAACAATCTGGTTTCAGGGAACTCAAATTCACACAAAGAAAGCAACTTTTCAGAAAGTATTCTAATGTCAGGTTTACTAATACAGTGTACATAGAATCAGTGGCAGCGAACATGCTTATTGAGGCCCACAGCTGAGAGATCCACAAGGACCATGACTGCACAGCAAAGAGTAGATGGACTGAGCTCATTGAAAAGGTCATGGCAAGCCTGAGGAACTTAGAATTTATCCTGGGGTCAGTAGGACCCCATCAAAGGGCTTTTTATTGGAGTGTGCCACGATTAGATTCTTCATTTAGAAAAATCCACCCTCTGGGTGGAGAATGATATAAGGGCAAGTGGATATTGACACAGAGGGAAATAAAGGTGTAGATAAAAAGCTATTGATGGATTTGAGGGAAAGTCTCCAATGGGAAGCCATTGGAGGGTTTTGAGAAGAAGAATGACATGATCTGACTTATGCTTTAATAGAATCACTCTGGGTCCTGGGTTGACTATATTGGATATGGAAAGAGGATGGTAGCAAAGGGACCAGCTATTGCAATAACCTAGACAAGGCATCATAGACTTTGACAGGAAAGTAGCAGTGGAGGTTTTGACAGGCAGTTTAATTTGTCTTGTAATCTGTCTTAATTCTGAAGGTTGAACCAGCAGGATTTCCTGATAGAATGGAGGTTAGATGTGAGAGAAAGAAAAGCCAAGGATAACTCCAAGACTTTTTGACCTGAGCCACTGAAAGGTTGAATTGCCATCAACTGAGATGGGAAAGACAGAAGAAGAAGTTAGATTTATGGGGGAAGTGTTGGATGTGTTAATACATCCAAGTAGAGATATCAAGTAGGCAAGTGGATTGTAAGTCTTGAGTTCAATGTGAGGTAGAGACTGGAGACATAAATTTGGGAGTGTCTGGCATATAGATGGTATTTAGAGCCGTAGACTAGATGATATCACCAAGGCAGTAAATGTAAGTAGAAAAGAGAAGGTTGAAATGACTCCTGGGGCCCTCCAAAGTTGAGAGGTCAAGTAGATGAGGAAGAAACAGCAAAGTAGATGGAAAAGCTGTGACCAGTGAGTTAGTAGGAACCTTGGAAGCCTGTGAATAAAGCCTTGAAGGGGAGGAAATGACGAACATGACAGATGCTGTTGACAGGTCAAACAAAAAGAGGAGTGATGAGTTTCCATTGGATTTAAGCAGCATGAGGTGCAATGGAGTGCTTGATAAAAACAGTTTTGGGGAAATGGAGGGAGAAAAATATCTAATTGGACTGGTTTCAGGAGAGAATGAAATTAGAGTGACTAAAGATACTTCTTTTGAAGAATTTTGCTATAAAGGGAGGGAGAGAAAGGGGGAGGATGAGTTGGAAGTAGAAGTGAGATCAAGGAAGTCACTGGTACCTTTCATGGAGACAGTTCAGGGGGTGATGCTATGGGGGAAGAGGACATTGAGTGTCTGTTTGCTCATCCTTAAAAAACAGTGAGTGCTTTGGGCCAGTTGAGGCATGGCCTCAAGGGCCAGTGACAGACCTCAGGATTCTCTCGGTGATGTCCTTGTTTGTGCCCGTTCCTATTTCACGACTCTAATCCATTTGTTGTCTTAATCAGGACCTCCTATTGCTCCTTTTGGAACATTGCACCATGAGACTGTGTCCTCTGAATGGGCTTTTCCCTAGGTTCTCAGGACTGGTACCCACACCCCTTGAGAGAGGGGATGACCTCCTGGCTGTGACTCTACATCTGATCTTCACATCTGTCATTCCAAGTCAGTCTAACCGGACTCATGGTTCTGAATAATCTTGTGTTGCTGCCCAAGATCCAAGACGCTCTTCAAAATCTTTATGCATAGTTTTGTTTCTTAATACATAATTCAGGTACCCATTATTCAGATTCACATTCCAAATATTTTTAATCTTCCATTCTTCTGATTGTCTAAAAACTACATTATGTTGTGAAAAAATTAGAACATACCCATAGCCAAAAAGAACAAAAACCCCATAGGCCCACCACTCTGATCTAGAAGCTGTTACCATCACGTGGTTCACACACAGACCGATACATGCACATATGAACACACATTCCATTGGCGCGTTCTGTTCACTCAGACCAGTGATCAACGTGACCCCCATGACCCACAGGAATGGTTACCCCTTCCATCCCTGTGCCTTTATTCTCTTCCTTCTCTTTGCACAAGTTCTCTGCCTCTTTCACCCCTCACTCCTCTCGGGGACACATCAGTGATTTGGAGATTCACATGCCTGTCACAGGATTGTCCACGAAGTTTTCAAGCATGTCTCAAACATTCTTTTCAAATTACAAGCAACAGTGTGTACATGTTGGGGAGGAGGGTGATGCTTGACTTTGCCCAGAGAAATCCAAGCATGAGATGCAGATCAGTCTGTCTCCTGCCTGCAGTTCTGTCGTTCCCCATAGGGGAAACTGTCTGTTTTCCTATCTGTCTCACCTGGAATGTGCAAAATGTGTCAGGTTTCTCTTGTGCTTCCTCGTCTTGTAGTGGTTGTTGTGGATTAAATTCCATGCTAACCAGCCTAAGTGCTT